TCGAAAATCATGCATCATTTCTTAATTCAACCATCTTAAAATTACAATGGATGAACCCATTTTTATTTTTAAAATTTAAACAAAAAAATGAAAAAGTTTCAAAGGACAATTCCAAAAATATCAAATTTGGATATTCTATTTTCAAAAATATCATTATGAGTTGTCTATTTTTTTCAAAATGCCATTGATTTAGAGTTTTTAAACCTAAAATCCTAAAAATTTGAAACCTATAAAAGGTTTTGACCCCTAACAAGGCCTAAAAACTAAATTCTAATACAAAAGATCTAACCGGAACCTGAATAATATTTTGAATAAATGATATAATTTTAGTGACATTATTGAAAAATTTTCAAATGTTTGGTATTTTTCAAAAGTGACATTTTTCAAAGATTCTCAAGTTTTTCAAACATATAAGTATTGTTATGTAGGTCTTAAGTTAGGGATCAGTTTTAATCAAACGCACAATTATGTAATCATTTCTAAATTCTAATTGACTAGTCGATATATACTATGTTATAAATCCACTAAAAATTCGTTGAATGAACTAACACTTAAATACACCGCAATCTAAGCATTTATATCAATGAAAAAAATTGTGACCGTTATTTAATTTATGCAGTTAAAAAAGTATTAATATTGAAAAACAAAACAAATTATAAAACGTATTTTTGATCTAAGACGACAAGGAAAACGTTCTTCTATGGAAAACAAGTCTCGAGGATTCGCATGGTCAAATTTATTCCGATCAAATTATTCGCGAAAGCGTGAGATAAAATACGTAAATTATCTCTCCCTTACCTCCTCCTACGTCACATCTACGCATTCGTGCCCTACCTTCATAAGCATTCTTTCCAATTTCTCAATTTCGAAGATCCACGACCGTAGATTTTAATCACCTAAAACCATTGTTATATAAATGATGTAAAAAAATGAAATCAAAAATAGTACTTTTAGTGTTGTACTTTCTTTTGATTCACTTTATACTCATTTGGCGATTGCTAAATATCCATGGTGATTAATTAATAACCTCTCTGTCGGTATAAATGTTTAGATCATGAAACCATGTTACCCAAAACAATGATATGTTTTTTTCTTGCCTAACTCCACTACTAAAAAGTTGACAGTTTTTAAATTACCAACTACTACTTGAATTTTGATTCGGGACATTTGATTCATTGGAATCGTGCGTATATTAAGCAATAAACAAATCCCACAACGTAGCATCGAAACAAATCACATAACTTAATATTAAGAACTTATTTCATATTCATCTCTTAAGCAAAAATCAAAAAAAAATCTATTTCCAATCTAAGTATAATAGTTTTAAAAGCTAATATGTAATTTCTATATAAACTTACAAAATAAAAATAAAAATTAGCTGGTCAAATATACAATTAGCACTTTTAGAAAGGTCCATTTCCAAGGAAGCTAGAGACCGTCCTTTTTAACTAATTCGCCTGCACCATCCCCTTATATTGAGGGTCTAATTCTACACCTTATTCCATTTTATATTCCCTAACAATTTTTTTAATATTATTTTATTTCTAATGAAAACTCCTATCTTCCTTCCTCTCCATTCTTTTTCATCTACCTTTGAATCTTTTCCTACTTATATATAAAGCTTTACTTCCTCCTCTACTACTCCTTTTCTATCAATCAGCAAAACACATTCGTTGTCTTAAACCCTAAACCTTAAGAACAGAACTACACACACAAACACTAAGATGAGACCATTTGGCTTGATCTTTACGGTCATGTTCTTGGTCTCGGCCTTTTCAGAATCAAGAACCGCCGATTGTAGAGTTCTCCTTGGTGGTTCGTTGGAGAAAATCGATCAATCTAGAAATCGTGGGATCGATTTGCGAAGTAGAGAATTATTAGGGGTCGTGATACGTGGTTGTAAGAAGTTACGGTGGCTCTCTTCGACCGGAGAGAGGATGCACACAATGGCTTCAGGTCCGAGCAGGAGAGGTGCTGGTCACTAGAAAACTAACTCAAGACGAAAGCTCTTACATTATATTCAATATATTTATTTAGCTCAGGTTATAGTAAAGTATTTTCATTTGTTATGGATTATTATATTTATTCAGTCGTTAAAGATCAATGTAAAGTTTAGAAGGGAGATATTTTTTTATCATACAATAGTCGGTTTCCTTCTCACAATTAAACACTCATAGTTCGTATGCCAATAACTTGATTTTTACTTTGAATCGTATTTAAAATTAGTTTTGAGATTTACATTAACGGTAAAAATTCGTCGTTGATCAATTATATAGATTCGTGAGATGTTATCGGCCATTATGGTGCATACAAATGATAAAACCTTTGATTATTTCATGATTTACAACATAGTTGGAAATGAAATTAGTTTTTTTTTTTTTTGAGAAAAATGAAATTAAAATTCGGTCGTTGAAATTACATAATTCATGATTCGAATTTTGATATGATGCAAACTTATTCCTTATTGGTTTGTTCGAGATGTTGGCCTTTGGGGTATTAAAAGGACATTTTTTTATAGAATTGTCCTTCTAGAGGAGCCGGAAATGGAAAGCTTCAAAGCTTCGTATACACTATGTCCTGAGTAGTGTCCAATTTCGACGTTTATAAAATTGCCATCCAGCTTTCGAATCCCCTAAAATGTGTGGTAATTACAAAATTATTAGAAACTTGATCGAATATATCTACCATAACAAATCAAAATTTATTTAATAAAAAATGCTGTGCACGCGTAAACAGTCGAATAATCTTTTAAAAATGATGTATTCGTCCTAGAATACCATTAAACACGGTAATTCTTAGGTTTGAGAAACTGATCAATAAGACGGCAAAAAAATGTAATTTCTTTAGTTAAATTGTTTCTTGTAATTGTAATCTATGTAAATGATTTGCATAATGGTTCTCTTAGGGGTGTCAAACTGAGCTATCTCGCTCGGCTCAACTCAATTTCATGATGAGTTAGAATATTTCATGACTCAGCTCGGTTCAGCTCATTTATTAAACGAGTATAGAAACATAAGGTCGAACTCAGAGATCATCTAGATCGTGATCTAAATGAGTTCATATAACTCGCCAACTCATTTAAACTCGATCACTTAACTCGTTTATTAAATGAGCCTAAAAACATAGTTCGCGCTTATTAAACTTCGAACTAAGCTGAACTAGCTCATGAGCTAATAACTCGTTTGACACCCTAATTCTACGTAATATTCCTCTAAACTCTTGAAAACAAGTAAAAAAAATTGAATACGTACGTATAAGGAGAAAGTTAAACAAAAGCCCATTAGCCGACAAAAAGCCCATTATAGGCCCATTTGTATTTTTTTTTTAACATAACCCAAAAAAACCAGTGAGCTTAAAACCATTTCTCTTTTGCTTGTTTTGTGTTGTGAAACAGAGAAGAGACAGAGACGACGATATGAGTACGTTGAAGCCAAGCCGGAGCGACGAAATACCCGACCCAGATCAACAGATCAAGACCACGAACCAGATCAGAGCTGATTTCGATTCATTGGCTCCTAAACGACCCACTAAACCCACCCGGAGCGAACCAGAACCTCTCGGATCTTTCTCTTCTTCCGACAAATCCACCGACAATCCCGAGGCTGACAAGTTCAGATCTCTTCAGTCAGAAACTCATGTTCGGTTTCTTTAACTCACTCTTTGTCTCTCTCTTCACACTAAAACTAACCATTGTCGTAAACAATCTGAGATTTTTTTTTTTTTGGTGTTTATCATAAAACAGAGTAAAATTCTTGGTGAAGGAGATTCATCTGTGTCTCAAGATGAGTTTTTGGAGACAGATTATTACACGAATCTCACCTCCATTGATAAGCAACATCACACGGT